AGTGTACCAGATTATGTACCAACCAACCAACTGGTGCACCATAGAATGTATCTACAAACCAACCAGCATACCCACTAACCAACAAATGTACCTACGAACCAACCACCCAACCAGCACATCAAACAAAGTACATATCTACCAATCAACCAGCATAACAAGCAACCAGCCAGCAAACCAACGAATCTACCTACCAACCAGTATACCCACCTACCAAGCACAAGTACATGTCTACCTACCAAAAAAAAAAAAATAGCCAATCCAATAACCTAACAGCATATCAACCAGATTACCATCAAGCGTACCTACCAACCAACCAATCAACTAACCAGCACACACACCAACCAAGCAAAGTACATATCTAGCAACCATCAAACCAAAAAAACCAACCAGCATACCAACTGGAATACCAACTAGCATACCTACCAATCACCCAATGTACCAACCATCAATCCAGTTTGCTTTTGTTTTTATTTTTATTTACTTATTTTTTTGCCTACTGAGGTTGATTCCATGTTTCTAAATAGGACTTCCAAGAGGGAGTTTTTGCCTCTAATTTTGTGGTGCTCAATCTGTAGGCAAAGATCCAGATTTCATGAGATTAGGTCTACTCTTGCTTTGGTTACATTTATGCTTCACAAACCAGTTGGTTACCTTTGACCTATCTTTGAACAAACCATATTAAATGGTTCACCATATATACGTTATGGTTTTTTGTTCGAAATCATCTGAAGAAGTCCACTCGCTTTCTTTGATTAATCTAAGATTGGATCTCAAAGGCAACTAATCCAGGAGAAACCAATACTTCCTTTTCTACAGCAAAACCAGCATTTTCATGGAGGAACCACTGGTATGCCTAAATTAAAAATATTTAATTCCTCCAGCAAGTTCTACATCTGACCCAGTGTCTCCTACCTCTGGAAAGTGCTTGGAAACCTTCAAAAAAGGTGACCACCTTAGCTAGCTCCTTCCAATAAGAAGCTCCTCTGAGCTCCTCATCTTAAATTAAAAGATGATACCAGTCCCCTAACAGAGGAAATTAATTTCTGCTTGAAGGTTGAATATGGGACAATTAAAAAAAAAAACTATATATGTGAGGCTGCACAATTATAAGTCTGAGGTGGTTGTGTGCAGTACTGGAGCTCCACAGGGTATGGTGCTCTCACCCTTTCTATTCACCATCTACACCTCGGACACATCAGCTACAACATCAGCAGCTGTCACGTTCAGAAGTTCTCTGATGACTCGGCCATTGTCAGCTGTGTGTCTGACGGGAATGACCAGGAGTATAGGTCAGTCATCATAGACTTTGTGGACTGGTGTGAGCGTAACCATCTTCGCTTGAACACCAGCAAGACAGAGGAAATGATGATTGACTTCCAGAGAAACACACCTCCACACTCACCAGTAAACATCCAGGGAGCAGACATTGAGGTGGCAGATACCTTTAAGTGCCTGGGTGTTCACCTCTACATTAAACTGAACTGGTCCAAAAACACAGAGGCTTTGTATAAGAAGAGCCTCCTAAGGAGACTGAGGTCCTTCAGAGTTAATTCCCAGCTGCTAAAATCCTTTTATCACTCTGTTGTTGGTTTTGTTATTCACTCTGCTGTGGTCTGTTGGGGTGCAGACAGCTCTGACTGAGACAGGAAGAGACTGAACAAGCTAGTTAACAAAGCTAGCTCGGTTCTGAGCTGCCCAGTGGATACAGCTGAGGAGACGTGTGAAAGGAGGATGCTGGGGAAGACGATCACCATCTTAAAACACCCCTCCCACCCACTACATTCCACTGTGGAGACTATGAACAGCTCTTGCTGAGACAAACTGAAACATACCAGATGTAAAAAAGAACGCTACCATAGGTCATTCATCCCCTCTGCAGTAAGAGTGTGTAGTGAACCTGATTAGGCTCTTTTAATTATGTAGAGTAATGATTTATGCTATTTTATGAAAGAGGAACCATCCTACATATTTTATAGTTTTAAGAAGACTCAAAGGTTGTTTTCATCGATAAACTGTCGATAATATCCGTGGGTCTGTGTTTCAGTTCAATGAAGAGACAAGTTTGAAAGTTAAAAGATTTAATTATTCAAATTAAACTAATGATTTTGAAATGACAAGCATAGGAAACAACAATCAACATTGGCAACTTTGTTGAACAATCTTTAACAGTTGATATTGTAAACTTGCTCAAATAGACCTTGTGTTGAATGTGTGAAGATTGAGAGTGATGTGATGTGATTATGGATGTGTGTGTGCAAAATGTAGTGAAAACTGAGAATAAGGTGAGATGAATGTGTGTGTGTATCTGATTTTGCTTCAGGAAGAAACAGGTGTCTGAGTGAAAAGTGATGGTTTGAATACACTTAGGTTTTGTTGGAAAAGATGCATCATACGCTATTTCTCGTGGACTGCCTCACCGTATTCGGACCCTCTTTTAGACCCGGGACGTCAAAGGACGATATTTCATCCAGGGGTGACACCTCAGCTGGCAGAGAAGACGAAGGCGTGCTGCGACCCGGTCCAGAGATGACCTCGGTACACGTGATGAAGCGTTTGCAGATGCGCTTTCTTACAAGTGTATAACTCCTCAGTTTAACTAGTACTAGCATTATCCTGGTACACGACAACACCAATGCAATATTTAGTATGTGTTGGATTCTTGTACAATACTGGATTTACATAGTATATCTGTGTCCTTTACTGTGTGCTGCATTGTTCTGGAACCCAGGTTTTTCATTTTTATTTGTGGTTTTTAGTGGTCGAAGGCTACAAAAACAGCTTACTGCTTATGTACATATACCTTTCTTATTATTTCTCTTCAAATTATTCTCTAAGTGTTGCTGCTGTAACAAATTAATTTCCCCACTGTGGGCTCAATAAAGTCCATTCTACTCTATATTTATTTTAAGGATGCCTATTAGAGGTGTGTATAATGAAGTTACAGTATTTTCTTTAAAAGCTATATTTTATTTTAAAAAAAATAATCAAATATTTGTTGACGAGTATGACACTGGGTTTATGTTTACATCTACCAGCCAATAGAGAACACATTTGTAGGTTGCCAAACAGTCTGCTCAGCACAGCGAGCCTGCAAGTCAAGCAGCTGCTTCTGAGCCCAGAAGATATTTTTATCCTTCTCAGAAGAGGAGAAGGACGATAAAAGATCTAAACCAGCGTGAGTTCAGGTGAAGCCTAAAACTGTCACATATTGGCAGCAAACCTGGTATCCCAACGGCTGGAATCCTTGATCCACAGTTGCAACTACAACCTCCACACACTAGATGTCGCTTTGGGGTTCATGTTCCATATTCAGCCTTTACGTTATAAAAATATTAATTGTTATAACTGGTGGCTGCTTTCAAAGCTGTGGAGCATTTAATAGAGAACTAACATGGTGACTTTTCTGGATATTTTTGCTTGCTTTGAGAAGTTTTTTATAGATTTGTCACTAAGTATATTTATTGACAGTTTTGCAAATTTAGTCTTCATTCCGGTCAGAAAATTACATTCTTTCTGGTATTTTTTTCTCCAACTCTGGTCTGTTGATGGGAAAACAGGAAATTATTCAATTTAAAATGTTTCTAAACTTTTTGAATCAGTAGAGACAGCAGTTTGGGTATAGGCCTATATCAGGTATAGGCACCTGCATGCCTGTTTAAAACTTGCCCAGCGATGACTCAAAGCTCCTGTTTTAACCAACCACTCCAAGCACAGGGCATGAAGTGGATTTAGCTTTATCTGTCAATCCATTACACTTCAAATCCACCAGTTTTTACATGTTTCCATGATGAATAGTAAAGAGCAGCCATGGGTCCAGCCCCAGCTACAGCATTTACTGGAGGAGGAGCAGTGGTGTGGTTTCCCCTCTTCTTCTTTCCTGAAACATTTCTGCTCTGAGTCAAAACCTTTCAGAATGGACTGTGTACAGATTATGTGACAAGATAAAGCTTGAGAGATGTGTGTTTTCCCCCCATAGCCCTCAGATTGTTAGCATTAGTGGCTCTGAAACCATTCTGCATGTTAAATCTCCCTGGCAGTCAAAATGTGCTAACACTGATAAACATCACATGACTCAATTGTAGTTTGTCTGCTGTAAAAAGGAAAAAAAAAGATGACCTTTACTTACAGACTTTCATCACAACCATGACATCCAAATATTATGGCAGGGCTATTCAATTCTGGGCCTCAAGGGCCAGTATCCAACACGTTTTAGTGGTTTCTCTGCTCCAACACACTTGATTGAGTGGTTGAGTCACCTGTGCAGCAGCTCATCAGGCTCTGCAGAAGCATGTTAATCACCTACTAATTTAAATCAGGTGTGTTGAAGCAGGGTTAAAACCAAAATGTGCTGGATACCGGTCCTCGAGGCCCGGAATTAAATAGCCCTGCATTATGGAGTCTGTTTTATTTTTAACATCCTGACTTGCATGCTCTGTTGGTTGCAAATTAAGTCAAAAATAATTTAATTATAATCATGTTTTAGGTTTATTGTCTGTATTATAAATTACTCTTAAAGTATGAGAGGATATTCATTTTAGTTTTATTTTTTTCATATATATTAGTTTGACGGGTGAAGTGCAAATATCTAAATTAAAATAGCCTCAAAACTAAATGACAAATTAGATGTAAAATGTGGGAAAATATTTGCCCACTTATGCTGCTTTTATACATTTTAAATTTGAAACAAATAAAACACAAACTAATAAAACAGCTGCGTGAACAAGAACTTTCATGTTCAGGTAAACAAAAAGTTCCAATAAGCAGGAGTTTTGATATTTAGGCCACTTTTTGAAGCCTGTCGGCAGATTTTTCTCTGAATCATCATTCGTACTGTAAACACTCGTTATTACCGCACGCGCTGGCCCATCAGCCACTTGTACTTTCCTTTCTCTGAGACAACTGCGTCAGTGGCTCTCGCGTGACCGGCTGTTCACTGAAGGGAATCCCGGCCGCTGATTGGACAGAGCTGATTTAGCCTCGTCACGTGGCTTCCTGGTTAAATTTAACAAGCGGAGCGAGGTGCTGCTAAACAGCCGCAGCTGCTCCAAGAACAGAAGCTGTTCTGGTCCAAAGCGCTCCAGAATCACGCCAATATGGTGAGTTTTGCCCTTTAATATAACTTGTTTAGTGAAATGTGATTTTATGGAAGTAGTTTGTACCGCTAACTTTTCTCCAAGCTTGTCTAAAAGTTTTTGTTTTAATTATTTATCAAGCTGGGAAAGTTTTATGACATCTATTAAAAGAGGTGTGATTATAAAACGTACTCATGTTTTTAATGTAAAATTCGGATTTAATAAATAAAATTTCAATCCTGCGGGGTATATTTTATTATTATTATTATTATTATTATTATTATTATTATTATTGTTGTTGTTGTTGTTGGGTTCTTGAGATCCTTGATAAATACTGAATTTAATGTAAACATTTCAAGGTTGAGGCATGAACGGTTGACTGACGTGGGTGGAAAAAGCATTTTTGGGTGTTTAAAATATTAAATCTCAGATCAAAAGAAGAAAATCATGATTTAAATGAGAGAAGAAATACTTTAAAAAGAACATGTTTACATGACGCAAAATGTCTTGGAAAATAGTTTGTTGAAAATAAGAATTTTAGCTATAGTTTAAGATAGAGACGTATAATTTGTGAGTTTATTAACTCAGTATAATAATTTAAGTTTTTAAGGGATAAGGAAGTGAGATAAACATGTGAGCATCTTATGTCACCTGCTACAATGTCTGAAAGTTGGAAAGTGTTTTTTTTTTACTTGTTCAATTCAATTCAAGTTTATTTATATAGCGCCAAATCACGACAAGAGTTGTCTCAAAGCACTTCACATAATAAACATTCCAATTCAGGTCAGTTCATTAAGCCAATCAGAAATAATGTTTCCTATATAAGGAACCCAGCAAATTGCATCAAGTCACTGACTAGTGTCAGTGACTATACAGCAATCCTCACACTAAGCAAGCATAAGCAACAGTGGAGAGGAAAACTCCCTTTTAACAGGAAGAAACCTCCAGAGGATCCTGGCTCAGTATAAGCAGCCATCCTCCACGACTCACTGGGGATCGAGAAGACAGAGCACACACACACACACACACACACACACACACACACACACACACACACACACACACACACACACACACACACACACACACACACACACACACACACACACACACACACACACACACACACACACACACAGACAAGTAATGTGTCTGTAGTTACATTGTGATTTCTTAGTAAATATTCTATTTGGTGAAAGATAAACTTTATTGTATTTATCCTAGTGAATCTATAATTAAACGGATAAACTAGTATTAGCACATCAAAAGTCAATGAAAACAAAAAGTTATTATCAGGAGAGTGAGAATGTTTAAGTGGTTAGCAGCAGTGTGCTAGACAATGGCCCACTCCATGGCACCACAGCTCAGCAGAACGTTGTTGTAGCTTCTTCTGGGGAGAAAAACACTTACAGAGAAAATAAAGTTAACAGCTGAAATTGTAGAAAATAGTACAGTTAAAGAGCAGATTGTAGAAGAAAGCAGTAGAGTGTGAAAAGTGGTCAGTGTGTCCTCCAGCAGTCTAAGCCTATAGCAGCATAACTACAGAGATAACTCTGGATAATCTATCCTATTTAGATGGAGGCATGTTGGAGTCAGGGCAAGGGAGAGCCGTCTTTACCGACTGTACACTCCACCTCCCTGTACTCCCCCACTTGTCCAGATCTGGGCTAACATCAGATTTTAACCATAGGCCCTATCAAATAAAAATGTTTTAAGCCTATTCTTAAAAGTAGACAAAGTGTGTGCCTCACGGACAAAGGCTGGGAGTTGGTTCCACAGGAGAGGAGCCTGAGAACTAAAAGATCTGCCTCCCATCCTAATTTTAGATATTCTGGGAACCACCAGCAGACCTGCAGTCTGAGAGCGAAGTGCTCACTTAGGAAGGTATGGAACTATCAGATCACTGATGTATGGTGGAGCTTTATTATTAAGAGCTTTATATGTGAGAAGAAGGATCTTAAAATCTATTCTGAATTTAACAGGTAGTCAATGTAGGGAAGCTAAGACAGGAGAGATATGATCTCTCTTTTTAATTCTCATCAGAACTCTAGCTGCAGCATTTTGGACAAGCTGAAGAGAAGACTTTTAACTACATTCTGTGGACTTCCTGAGAGTAATGAATTACATTAATCCAGTCTTGATGTAATAAATGCATGAACTAGTTTCTCAGCATCACTCCTGGAAAGTATGCTTCTAATCTTAGCAATATTCCGAAGGTGGAAAAAGGAAATCCTACAAACCTGTTTAACCTGGGTTTTGAATGACGTGTCCTGGTCAAAGATAACACCAAGGTTCCTTACTTTGTTCTCGGAGATTAATGTAATGCCATTCAGGTCAGGTGATTGACTAAGCAATTTTCTTTTCTGGATTTCTGGTACAAAGATGAGAACTTCCGTCTTGTCTTGATTTAAAAGTAAAAAGTTTAGAGTCATCCAATTTATGTCCTCAAGACAAGCCTGTAATCTACCCAACCGATTAGGTTCATCAGGGTTAATGGATAAATATAACTGAGTATCGTCAACATAACAGTGGAAGTTTATCCCATGCTGTCTAATGATTTTACCAATTGGGAGCATATATATATAGTAAAAAGAATTGGTCCAAGCACTGAACCCTGTGGTACTCCGCAAGTAACCCTGGAGTATGAAGATTTGTCATGTACGTTTACAAAATGAAATCTGTCACAGGTAGGATTTAAACCAGCCTAGCACTGTTCCTTTGATCCCCACAACATGTTCAAGTCTTTCTAAAAGAACATTGTGATCAACTGTGTCAAAGGCAGCACTGAGATCTAACAAGACTAGAAAAACATCCTTCCATCCCATCCAGAACTTGTGTACAAACCTTTTCCAAATCTGTGGCTAAGCTATATATGAAAATATGATAAGATTTATTTTTTGCTATGAAATCATAATTTCTACTATGATTTTTATTTATATTCCTAAAAGAAGAAACAAAACAGCTGAGTTTTTCAGCAGCAGCAAATGATGCTATTTAGTGTAATAAAGCATTAGCTGCCCGGTGCTTACATGCTAGTCCATTTATTATCATCCTAGAGTTTATTAACTAAGACTAAAGTTCTGTGTGGAGCAAAGCCAGAAATAATCATAGATACATTTTAGTGTGCACTGGTTTTCTTTTGCAAACACAAAGCAGTGTTCAGATTTAGGGTGTGTCACATCCAAATTGGTCCTGACAGAAACGAGCCATTAGCTGAAAACCATACAGGATTTATGCCATTTTAGGTTTTTGGTTAATATCTTTTTTTTTTCTATTATCTTAAAATTTATTTTCAGATTCTGCGTGAAAAAGCAGTAAAGAAAATCTATTGATCAATACCACATTTAAAATTTTAGGAAAAGCGACATATTGTGAAACCAGGGATCCTTTTCAAACTTTTGCACATTGCATAACATTTATAGGAAAGGCATTCTGCACATATCATCAATTATTCTTGTTATGTCCTCTAAGGTGTATATTTGGAATGAATTATGTATGTTTAAGTAAATGTATGTTTATTTATATTAATTTTTAATAGAATATGCGAAACCCAGAATTAGTAGCTTGAGTTTTGATTTAAAATGTAAAGCTGAGATTATTTCCATTCGCTGTCTGTTCAGACAGACTCAGCTGTTAGCTTCAGAATCCCACCTTCATACATTTATTAGGATATCTAATAATTATTCACTTAAGTTACAAATTAAAAAGCTAAAATAATGTACGTTAAAGGAATGTTTTGGCTCCTGACAGTAGTTTGTGTTTTGAGGCTCCCAAAAATCGTCTGGTAATTGTAATTAATTGGCCGATGTTCAGCAAAATTTAGCTAAAGACAAAAATTTTCAAGTAAATGTTTTTTTTATGTAATCTGTTAACTTTATGTTTTGAGATGAATTGAAACAGGAAAAATCAGCATGAGCAGGTTAGAACAGGAACCAGAAATCGGTGTTGGCCCTCAAAATCTGAATCAGTGCTTTTCTAAGTTTTCTGATTTTTATTCATTACATTATTTGAGGAAATTGGATAAAAGAAGTTAATGAAATTCTGATAAATGTTTGACCACCAGGATTTATCTGTTAGACAAATGATGTGACGTCTGTTTTTTTTTTTGTTTTGTTTTGTTTTGTGGCAGAGTAAAAATTTCATGGAGTCCACAGACCTGAAGCCCAACCGACTTTACCCAGCGTTACCCAGTTTAAAGAGGCGAGGCTCGTCTTTTCTCACCATTTTTAGTTATCAAAGATAATCTCGTCATCATTTTGCGTCTGAATCTTATTTTCAGGCTCGAGTTTTGCCTGCCGGTCAGCTCCTCTTCAGAAAAACGTCCCACATTTGCAGAGTCCCATCCTGAGAGTTTACTGGAAGACAAACCGGTTGGTGATTTACGTGACCTGACAGAATCCTGATTCTTTGTGTTCACAGCAACAGTAAAACTTCCAGAAACGTGTAAAAGGAAGTCTTGTTGCACCTCTCTGCCTGTGTGGATTTTTATACTTCCTCTTTCTTTTTTGTTGTTGTGTGTGTTCTTCAGTCAGAAGAACCGCTCGGCTCTTCTGAGAGGATGAAAGCAGAGATTCTTGTGCTCGAGGAGCAGAATAAAGAGGTGAGCACATCTCATAATCTGTCAGACACTTTGGGACTTCTAAGGGTTTTTGTTTTGTTTCACTCAGCTTCTCGCTATCAATAAGAAGTGGGCCAAAGAGTACAGAACCATGGAGCAGTACTACAAAAACAAGGTGAGGAGGACTCGTTTTATCACTCTGATCTGAAGTTATTGCTCTACTTTCACCTCATTTTAGTGTGCTGTTGTTTAACATCCAGGTGCAACATCTAAAAGAAGTCAGCATTCAGTCTGAGGAGGAGAAAAGTGATGAAGAAGAGCGGGAGAACACAGACAGACGAGTACAAGTGTTTCCAGACATTCACATAGAAACAGTTTATATTCCCCAAGCTCATGTTTTGATTTGATTTGACAGACGGAAGTTGCAGAGCTGCGAGCACGCAACACCACTCTGACCCATAGGGGGCAGCACCAGCAGGAGGAGATCAGACGCCTCAACAAGGTGAGACCGCGGTGAACTCTGACCTCTCTTCATCATGTTTAGACGTTAGCATCATCAGAGTGGTTCTGTTCGCCGCAGGCCTTACAGGAAGCTCTCCTCACCTCGCAGCAGCTGGGGGACGGTGGCAGCGAGACGCCGCAGGACATCTGGAAACACCAGGTGGGTTTGAGTCATCGCTTCTGTCGGAGATTTGGGGGATTCTCGTTTTCTCCTTGCTGGCAGAGAAATGCCCCCTTTAAGACTGAGCCATAATAAACACTTTCAGGTCAGAATAAAATCTAGAATGTTGCAAATTTTCTAAAGAAATAAAAGCTTTAAATCAGGCGAAAAAAGAAACAGCAAAAAAGTCAACTTTTAAAATATAAATTTTTATATCTCTTATAATTAAAGATTACTTTGGGGTGTTTCTGTGTAACAAAGATAAGCAATGGCTCCCTGAGTGGTCTCTGTTTGGAGAAACAGAGTCTACATCCTACAGCACTGATAAGCTAACGGCTAGTCCCAGACTTCAGTGTGCAGCTGCATCCTAAAACTGCTAAAATCTCTTAAATGTTATAGCATTATTTATATTAAATTCAAATAAACATCACCAGCAGCTTTAAAGTATTTTAGTTAATCCAAGTCAAATTCACCTTGAATTTTGTACAATTTGTGCAAAAATAATTGGGTGATGGGAAACTGACGTTGTTTTGTATCTGCAGCCTTTCCAGTTCCTGTTTTACTGTAGGTTAAATCTTTTCTCACGCGCCAACTACAAAATAAAAATATCATTTTATCTTAAGTGAAAATGCAACATCTCACCTGTTAGCTTTCATGTTTTGGAGCAGAAAAAGAGCATAAAACCAAATATTTAAAGCTCAGTTTGTTCCACTGGTTTACTGTGACGCTCACCTGTTCCAGCCAGATACCTGCATCATGGGGTTGATCTGAGCTGAGGAGGAGACTCCTGTTGTTTTGTTCATCTTCATCATAATAACGACAACAGGTGCTCACATAGGTTTGTGCTGATGAACATGTCTGAGCAGCTTGACCACGTTGTTGTGTGTCGGGGAGGAAACACGACAGCAGCCACAGAGCCGTGCTGGTTTGAGCGTGTCGCTGCTCGCTGGAGTTATATCAGCTTTGTCTGGACGTTAGTTGGAAAACTTTCTCTTTCAGCCGTGAACACATTACTGAGCGGTTAAAATCTCCGTTGCTGGGCTTCAACGTTCGAAAATAGCTGAGTAAACTCGGCGCTGATTGAGAGTGTTTAGTTTGTCCAAGACAGCGGAGCTGCAGACACCGGCAGCAGACGCTGGAAAAAACACAAAGGAGGGGGCGCTTCGGCTCCGCCCTAACACCGCAAAGCATCATGGGAGTCGTAGTTTTTGCGGTAAAATCGGCCAGCGGGTCAGTTTTAATATATTTTTGATATTTATCTCGCACATAAAAATGCTCCGTGGGCCACATCTGGCCTTGTGTCTGACACGTGCTGTAAAGGGTCATTTTAGCACATGCTCGCTCAAGAAAAAGACGTTAAATATGAAAAAGTTGTAACGTATCCTTTTAAACTGTTGAGAGATTTAGGAGACTGGATCTGTAACACACCTCGTACCTTGCCGAGCTCACACTAGCCTTCAGATCATCAGTCTTGTTGGACATAAACTCTATTTACCCAAACTGATGTCATTCAGGAAGACATTTGATCTCATTTTGTGGCAAAAACAGACCTAAAAACAGCAGAAAATATCTCTTAATTGGTCAAATAAGAGCTCTGGATGTGTTTTAAAATAGAGATACGTTGAAAATGTTGCTGTTTACCTTTTATGAGTGGGGATTTAAAAAAAGGATCCAAAAGTAAAATTTCTGTTTCTTTAAAAGAGTAATTTACTTTTCATTTATCCACTTTCTGAATAATCTGTAAAATAAATTGAATAAAGTTCCTGTTTAGACCAAATGATCCTGACCTGAGATGTGAAACATGAGCGCTAAAGGTCCTGTTGAGTCTTTTTAGTCAAACTAAATGACTGCAAGTCTTCCTGTTCAGGCCGAAACCTACATGGACGACTTTATGAAGGAGAGGAAGGACCGAGAGAAGCTAAAGTCCAAGTTTCTGGAGCTGGAGAAGCGCTATAGGAAGGTTCACAGCGAGCTGTTCGCCTACAAATCCCAGGTATCAAGAAACACAAAAGGTGTAAGCGCTCGGTGTGGGCGCCGTTGATGGAAACGGGTGTTTTTGTTGCCCCAGGTGACGACGACGCCAGTGCACTGCTGTTCCTGCACAAATCGGGCTAAAAAGTAAGAAGTGGGAGGAGAAACAGCGTTCTCCACAGCAACAAACTGCACTTTATAGGAAGTCTGATCCAGATCCTGGTTCATCAGGAAGCATCAGGATGGGAAAATCATCAAGTTTCTGCTTGACCACAACACTAGACGTGATGCTTTCTTCGGGAGGCGAAAAAACAAACGTTCATCAGCTTTAACTAACCGTAACAGGAACCACGCTCGGACTAAAAAACACCCATCGTTCTGAGTTGCTCAGCTCCTCTCAGGATTCTTCAGCTGCACGACTTCCTTTAAGATCTGGAGTTTGGAAAAGAATAAAACACACATGGGAACATTTGTTTTGTTCCGTATATTTATACAAATGTAAATGAATTTTGTTTTATTTATAATAAAAATAAACCACCTGATGACAAGTGGCTTGACCGGCTTGTTTGGTTGGATGACCACGATGCAGAAAAAAGCTGCTTAAAAACAGCTAAATGTCAACAAAATAAAAGTTTTCACCAGGTTTAAAGAATATTATACAGTGTAACGTCACCAAATGGACTGATTTTGCGATCCTACAGTTCATATGCACGGCCAGAGCAAATAACCCAGGCTACACACGTTCTGCTGTATTCTACCCTGACAGGAGATGGAACGTCTGCACACAGGCTCTTTAATCAGATGACTTCATCAGCTGAACTGAAGCTTCACCAGATAATAAAGATGAACAGTAGCATTCATTTCCCCGAGGTTCCTCACAAGAGAACTCCTAAAATAAACGTTTATTCCCAGAAGTAAAGAAGATTTCATAATATAAGTAATCATTTTATATTTCAGAATAATCCTTGAAGAAAAGAAGATCTTACAATTAATAATCACTAAATATTGCCATGTATAATTATAAATGATGAAATGTTTCACAAATCTGTTCAATGATGCTAAGTATGTTTACTGGATTAGATCACTCACACCAGACAAGAAGTAAGGCTAAATTAAGAAGCAGTACACATAAACTGACCTTGTTTTGCAGACTCAGCGGCTCTGCATCACAGAGGGTACGTTCTGAGAATTCTTGATAACTTTGGTAATGCGGGCTATATAAACCAGCCGCTCTGCTTCTCGAACAGGTGTTCTGGGAATTTCTCCTACCCCGTAAACCGTCCTACCCGTTGTTACTGTGCATGTGTGCGCATGCGCACAACACAAAAGGGGAATGCTACTCCACTGTCATATTTGCAGTAAAATAGATAAGTAGTATTAGTACTTTTTAATGATGTTGATACTTGATTTTTTTTTTTTTTTTTGGTTAGGGTTACAGTTATGGTTAGGGTTAGGGTTTGTGTCATGTAAAACACCGTAAAATTATCCTACGGGTAGGACGTTTCGCCAAAGTAGGACGTTTTCTCAGAACACCGGCAGAATGAGAGTTCGGAGAGCAAGCGGAGGCCGGCCACCTCTTAGCAGATCTCTAACTCGAAGGAAGGAGTTTGACACGCTGTCAAAACCCTTAAACCTTTGCACCTGCAAAGCCGAGGACAACAATAGATTTTTCCTGCAGAACAAAGCTGATTTTACAACACTCCTTCAGAGTGGTTTTGAGACGCTTGGTTTCATCCAGTCCACCTGTGTTACCTGGAGCGACCTGGTCGTACTAGGAGTTAGTCTACGGACTTCTGTACCCGGGGTCTCCAACCCCCTGACATCTCGGATCCGCAAGGGCGTCTCCACTTGGGTACGTAGAACACAGTGAGATAGCGTCTGTATGCAGTTTGATAAGAACTGCTTACAGCTCAGATGCAAACTAAATTATTTTATTATACAGAACTCACCTCTCTCTGAGATGTGGAGATTTTGACTCTGAAATACTATATTCACACCTAGTTCCAGACACCCATCTCTTAGTTCTCATCCACTCACAGTAAATAATAGTTTAAACCATTTGTCGAGGCTTAAAATTGTTTGTAAAATAAATTCTTATTTGTTTGCAAACACCGACTGGTTCTTGAATCATAAGCGAAGTGTGACGATCCCTTAATAATTAAAAGAATCCTAGAACCTTCTAATTAATCATCCTAAGACCAAGCAAGGTGATATTCTATAATAATAGAGCATTACAGCTATTGGTCACAAAGTAATGAGAACAGAAATAAATAGCTCTTAAGCAATTTATTTAATCCAATTTACCCTCTGTTGACTTCATTACAGCAGTAAGAATGTCTGAAGCGAGCTGTCCATCAACGATAAATGTGGGATGAGCAGTCATCACAGCCCCCAAAAAACAGCAAAAAGGTGAAAATATCCAGATTATTCAAAGAAAACAAACCAAAAAGTCAGATTTAGATTAATCAGATAAATCAAGGCTGAGAAAACAGCTCTCTGGTGACCTCTGCTGGTCAGAATCAAGAAATGAAATTAAAATAAAAAAAATTCCTAATTTGATGCAAAAAATTTGTTTAAATTAAGCCAAATGAAGAAGGAATGAATGAAACCAATTAAAAGAGCACACTTCTTAAGATTTTAATGTGTATATTTTATCAGGATTCTGGTGAAATGACGACTCGTAAACATTGAAGGTTTAACAAGAGATTTATTAGCAGTTTTAGCAGCGGTTTCCTGTTTGTTACATGTGGTTTCTATAGGAACTGGAAGTCCCGGCATGAGAAAAACCTCTGACTGTGTAAGATATGACACGCTGAGCTGAGTTGAAGTGATTGTCTGAACAATATCATTTAGACAGAACACTTTTGAACGCTGCTTTTGCCGCTCCGCCCTCGTTGATCTCCTCTGATATAAATATTCTGATTAACGTAGACGAGTGATTCGGTTTCAGGGCCTTGATGTGAGGATGGATGCTACATAAGTGTCCCCAGAGCTCAGTGCTGAGGCCCGTTGTTCTGGTGGGGGCAGACGTCACACCCGCCACGGATAAATACGTTAAAAACATTCTGATGAAAGTCGGCGTTTGCAGCTAACCGGTTCTGCCAACGAAAGAGTTGGATTATTACATCGAACCGGTTCCTGACGCGTGTCAGTAGAAGCCCGGGTTTGTGTGCTCGATGACGCAGCGCCGGCAGTGTCTCCTGACGAATCGCAGGGCTTCCGGCGACACCTCGCAGTCCTGCACGTTGAGCAGCTGCAGTTCGCAGCAGTTGGCCGCCAGAGCTTTGAGTCCTCGGCCCGTCACACTCTCACAGGCCCGGAGACTGACCCGCCTCAGGCCTTGGCAGTACATGGCCAGCTGCTCCAGCCCACTGTCCGACACCAGTGGGCACTTCCCCACATCCAGGGACTTGAGTTTGGGGCAGCTCCGGGACAAGTGTCCTAGGCCGTGATCCGTCAGCCCCTCGCAGCCCCTTGCATTCAGGTACCGCAGCCTGGGGCAGTACCGGGCCACGTAGCGGATCCCCACATCCGTGATGCGGGTGCAGTGAGCCACGCTCAGGTAGCGCAGGCAGCCCTCCAGCCGAGCCACTTCCCGCAGACCGAAGTCACCCACCAGGCGGCAGTCGCTGAGACTCAGCTCCCTAATGGACGGGCAGTGGAGAGCCAAGTGGCGCAGGGCTTCATCCGTTAGTCTGCTGCAGCGCCGCAGGTACAGGTGGGTGAGGCGGGGGCAGTGGGAGGCGATAGTCCGCAAACCCTCGTCCTCCAGAGAGAAGCAGTCGGTCATGTCCAGGTGGTGGATGGAGATCTGCTGTCCGTGGAGTGGAGACAGCTGGAGCGAGGCCTCCTGGGTCAGACTGATGCAGGTCACCTTAGAGCAGCCTGCAAAAAAGAACCAATCAGGTTACAGACCATCTGAGATTTTAATGCCTACACCTGTCAGGACAAAGTTTCCAGTTTGCATGTAAAACCAAAAGTATCAGAAACAGTCAGATTTTACTGGATACGACAGGAAAAGGGACAACAAAGCAGAGTTAAAGGCAGACTGGGAAGGTCTGGCTTGCTGTTAGCGGCCCCTAGCAGAGTTCAGTAGTTCAGTAGGACTGAAAGCAAAATGTATCTCCTCGCCGTGCGTTTGTCTTTTTAACAGCTGAAATGTCTCCCCAGCCTTCTTTAGTGTTTACAGGATTGATTTATCACTAAATGTAACAAATCAGTTGTGTTCATGATCTAAAACATGCAGGAAACCTGCTGTAAACAGACTGCAGCACCAGGTATGTAAGCTCAAATTAGTTCTAAGTCCAACAGACTGGACCAGCACTCTGAAGTTGTAAGTTTGGTATTCTGGCCATGGAGAGTGGTGTGGGTCTGAGGGACACTTCATTAACCCTGTAAAGGGTCATTTTAACACAAACTGTCTCAAGGAAAGGAATTAGAAATATGAAAAAGCTTCCTGTAAAACCTCAGTTTGGAGAAATAGTTTACACCTAATGAGCTAATGGTTATCTGGAAAGCAAGATTAAAGTGTACAGTTTCCTTCTTAAACAGAGAATTTTTGTAAAATATTTGCGCTCATAGTTAGCATAATTATTGAAGCAGAAACATAAATACGTTCCTATCCGACCTGACCTCTAGAGAAACAGCAAGTGCTGCACCTAGCTGCTGCTGTACATAACAATTTGTAAAAAAACAAACAAAAAAAACAGCTGTTTTAGTGTCCTCTCACTAGCCGTTAGCTCATCAGTCCTGACAGACAAACTGTTTCACCAAGTCAAAGCCGTTTAGGAAGCTATCTATTTTTAACAACATTGTAAAAATTTGTGGATTCTGTACAGAATCTTAAGTTAAGTTGATGCTAAAGATGTGTTCGCATCGCTTACTCTAAAGATGAATCAAAGTTCCTGTGTGAAGCACGGCAGCGGGCGTATTATTGTGTGTGAATGTTAATCATTCACTTGAGTATTTTAAATTACTTTTTTATTTTGATTCTGTTTATTTTCTTTGACACAACTTTTTAAAAGTTAAAACACATCAGTGACAGATTTAAAGGAGCAGAAAAGTCTGAGCTTTGATCTTGATGTTGCTCCATAATTACTCCTACAGTAAAGTTGTAGTGGTCTCACTCAGAGCAGGAGAAAAAAAACGAGACAAGTCCATAATGCCTGAAGAACATTAGTTGATCCACCACATAATAAATTAAACTGAAGTTTGTGAGTTATTTTAGTTACAGCAGGAGGATTGCGGGTTTTATCTCAGCTTGCTTACATTAAAAAGTCATCAGGGATGGAATCTCTTAATGGCCACTAAGGACAGACTGAATCATCACAGCAACCAAAATTATGTAAATAAACACAAGGAGATGCAAGGATTAACCACCAGGGGGCAGTGGAGTGATAGCTGCACATTTTATGTTCATTGATGCTAAAATAAATGAACTTTTGTTAATCTAAGCATCTAAACTAAACTTGATTTTCTGTTTGCAAATGAAACCCAGATGTTTTTAACGTCTGGCTCCAGCAGCTGGATGAAGGCAGCAGCCTGCTCGTCTCGCTCGTGTCCAGGTTCATTCTTCTCGCACACGTGAGGCTCTCCAGCTCCTCTAATGACTTTAGCAGCTTCACAGGGAATAGCTGAGCAGCTCTGAGTGGAGGAATCCATTCACATAATTCCACACATGTTCATCGTATACAGTAGATTTTATTTTACCCAACCTGACTGCCTAAAGCCAGGATCGCAGAGGGCTGAATCGCACTGGAATGGAACTACCAAACTTGTGTGGGGCAACACTAAAGTGACTGATCCTCCAGTCTGTGTTTAGTCACAAATTATCTTTATTATTTCTCAATTTACATCCATTTTACTTGTTTATGACCTCTCAAAGCTCCCAATTTTAGACTTAAAGAACCCTCTAGAGAGGCCCTGATACCAGGATCGGGTTGGACAATAACCACGCTATCACAACTGTTGATTAGTCAGATGTGGTGAATACCTAAAATGTCCTTTTGCTTTGTGATAATAATGCGGGTAAAATGACCCAGACAGATATAAAGCTTCCCAAATGTCTTCTACAAACCAAATCAGTCTGATTAGAACAGGCAATTTTCTTGCAATTATGTGTCTCCACCAATCCAAGCCTGGTGAGATAGGAGCTTTAAGGTTGTTCTTACCTGAGAGGTTCAGGTGCTCCAGGTTGGGGCAGCGGGACACCACCTCAAACACGGCATCGTTGGAGATGTTATAACAACCAGCGACCTCCAGGTGCCGTAGCTCGGGGCAGCACTGGGCCAGAACGTGCAGCCCCCGGTCGGTGAGCCTCTTGCAGCCGTTGACTACCACCTTTTCCAGTGTCAGACACACATTGGGGGTGTCCTGGCACAGCCGGTGGGTCAGAACTTTGATGGCGCGGTCAGTTTGAAGCAGCTCTCCTGTGAGGCGGATGGTGATCCACAGTCTCGGGTCCCACGCCAGGTTGTACCAGCGCCGGCAAACACGAGCGCAGCGGCACAGCTGGTTGGTTGGGAGATGGGAAAGGATCTGGATGAGGCTGTGATCTGGGAGGAGGTCGATGGGGGCGTGGTGGTGGGTTTTTGATTGTCTGGAGCGAGTGTGGCCGCCGGGCTGAGGGTGGATCACAGCCACCGTTTCAGCGTGGGCGGAGGATGAGGACGAGGAGTTGGTCTCATGGCCATTACTGGACAAGGCTGGTGAGGAGAGGGAGGAGGACTTGGATGGCAGGATCAGACCCGGACTGGGGGTGCTCAGTGTTCTTGTGCTGCTCTCCAAGCCTGAAGACAGGAAAAAAGGACACCAGATGAATCTTATGGGACGTTTTAGATGAAAATGTGTTGACCCTTTGGGTGAGGGTCACAAAATAACGATCAGATCTCATGTCTAGATGATAAAATCTGACATCCAAAGTCACACTAGAAGAAGAAGAACATCTTTTCTATAGCGCCTCTCAAGATAAAAACCACGAGGCGCTTCACAAAAACAAAATATGTAAAAATATAAAAAGAATTGAGAAAATGATTAGAAATATATTTAAAATGAGCAAAACATAGACAATTGTGATTAAAAATGTTAAGAAAGAGAGAGAGTGAATAGAAAAGAGGGAAATCAGTGGATCCTGAGGAAGGTGGAATTGGTGGGGAGAGCAGAACAAGGAGAGGGTGATGAAGGTCATACAAAAGCCAGCCTGAACAAGTGAGTCTTCAGCTGCTTTTTTAAAGGAGACCACTGAGTCCACTGATCTCAGGTTCAGGGGGAGAGAGAGTTCCAGAGTCTGGGGGCCACAGCAGCAAATTATCTATCACCTTTGGTTTTTAAGGACCAAATACTCTAAGGACAGAGGATTAGGTTTTGATGGGAAAAGAGAAGTAAACTTTTAATTTTGTCAACACAAAACAGAACCGAGTCACTCTAAGGACCTAATATGGGGATTGGGAGTTCAGATTCCTTTTTGTGATGAACAAATGGTACAGTACATTATAAGTACACAGGCAGCTGGGTATCCCACTATCAGGATCTGCTCTAGAGTGGTTCTCCTCTTATCTGTCTGAGCACTCCTTCTCTATGGTCGTCTCCAAGTCTTGGTCCTCCTCCCTCACCCATGGTGTCCCACAAGGTTCTGTGCTGGGGCCTCTGCTCTTCCTCCTCTATCTGCATCCTTTCAGCACATCCTGAGCTCCTTTAAATGAATCTCCTATCATCTTTATGCAGATGACATCCAACTGTACATTTTCTTTAAGCCCCATGAGATGTTTAAGCTGCAGCTGTTACACTCCTGCTTAGAGCTTTCTACAGCTGAATGAAGATAAGATTGAGATCCTCATCTGTGCCCCAAACAAGCACGGGCCTCATTTATCAAGCTTGCTTACGCACAAAACGGGGTCGGAAAACTGCGTAAACAACTTTCCACGCAAACTTTGGGATTTATGTAAGAAAACTTAGCAGAAAAATGTGCGCAACGTTAAGTTGACTAAGGACCTGGCTTAAGCACATTTTGGACATGGAGAGCATCTGCAGTGCTGCTGCTGAGAAGGATAAAATGATGAAATCCTGCAGCATTATCACTTGTACTGCTTCATTTTCACACAGAACAAGACACCCCACACACACGTGCGCATACACACACATGCATGCACACACTCGCGCACACACACACACACAGCCTGAAGCGCAGAATACGGACAGGGGGACAGATTGAGACAGAATGTCATACGTCTGTGACAGTGTGTGTGTCCTGTCACTGTGACTTGATTGATCATGCACCCTGGCTACTTGTACAGGGGAGATTTCCGTTTGGGTGACTGGTTAGCGCGTGACTTTCACCCAGGAGTCTGGGGATCGAATCCTGATTGGACCATTTTTTTTATATCCGCCACAGATCTCTCTGAAGAATTCACAACATTGACGGCTTCAGCAACGCTGTGCCACTCCGTGGCTTTTCTCTAATTTGTTTTGCAAAAGCACCACCTTCCATTTCTCCACCTCACCCACAGGTACCTGAATTTCTGTTTCTGTGAAATAGCGCTTCCTTGATCTACGGTCGCCATTGTCATTGGCGGAGCGCTGCAACAGCCGGCTTATGTGTATGCATGAGATCCACAAGGCACTTTGCATTGACTATTTATGGCAGTAAGTGGGCGTGTTGAGGGTGGGATGTGACTAAAATGCAGCTGAGAAACATTCTAGATAGTGTCTGATTTATGAAGCGGAGATTGCGTGCAGCTGTGCGTACTCCATGTTTGATAGATCACAAACCTACTTGGCGTAAGTACATTTGTTGTTGCTGAGCTTAAGTACGGTTTTAGGAAGGATTCTACGCAATGTTTGATAAATGAGACCCCTGGTTCCTAAAGTCAGAGACTCTCTTGGTCAGCTTTCTTCTCACACCTAACCCTCTGTCAGGAATCTTGGCGTGACCTTTGACCCAGCTCTCACCCTGGATTCTCATGTCAGTTCTCTTGTTCGCTCTTCCTTCTTCCATCTCAGGAACATTGCTAAGCTGAGTTCCATTCTGTCCCGCTCTGAACTTGAGACAGTTCTCCACACCTTCATCTCCTCAGCATTTGCTTTTGGATGTAAATAAACGGCTTTCAGGTTTTGCTCTAACGACACAGGTGTGACCTGTGTTTACACTCATTTTCTCATTATTACAAGCTCAATTACTGCTCTTTGTAGCAGATAGTGCAGATGTCACGATTTATTTTCATTTGAACGAATGTAAACGAGTTGTGAGCACCAGTTTAATGCACCAACTAAAAATGAGCTACATAACCTCTAAATGAAATTTAAATAAAAGTGTGATCATGATATAAAAATAGTGTTTGAAATCACAAACATGAACGTTTTAGTTTGAAATGATCAGGACACGAGTCATGTAGCTCAGAGTCCACCATCATGGTGCCACACCAGCGCTTATCGTACATGTGGGAGGGTTTCCATGGATCTCATTATCCTGTTTTGGGATGTTTGGGAAAACCCGCGTTAGGTTTATCTGCTAGGCGTTGGAGCAGCACTCACTGGGCCTCTTCATCAGATAAATTATGGAGCTTCAAAGCTGGCGATGTGTGGTGAGCCATGTGTAAATGCTGAGGCCCCTCTGACAGATGTGCACTAATTATCTGTAAATCCAGCTGTGAGGGGCGAACTCTGGATCCCATCACAGCGACAGCGTCCTTCATCAGCCTAACCCTGAGAAGTCTCCTTATGTTAAATAGGAAAAGTAAATATTTCAGAAATAAAGAAATAACATGTTTTTATTTCTTTTCCTAAAATATTTCCACTACCTATAGGAAGATATGATGGTAATGACTTTGCTGATACCCGTTTCTCATCTTTTAGGAATTCTTTTGTAAAACAACAAAGACAAAGCGGAGCAGAAATAATTTACAATAACAGAAATGTAGAAAAATCTACAGGAATGTAAAAAAAAATCTAGAGAGAAGAAAGTTGTCGCAAAAAATGTAAAAAGAAGCTAAATATAAATGTAAACAAACAAGAATGCAACCATCTAAAACTTGGCTGTAAAATAAGCACAAAAAAAGTGCCAAATTCTTTTAAAATGAGGCAGAAAACTGTGATACAGACACAGATTAGAGAAAAAGCAATCCAATAATTCACCAACAAACCCATCTTTGTCTGAGGTGACAGAACTAAACATTACACCTCCAGATTGTTGGGTACATCATATCACAAATACAAACGTCTGACACTTCCATCGACTGTTTAATCCTGGTTAATGTGCTCCAACACACCTGATTTGAGTTAGAGGGGTGATTCTCCAGGGCTGCTGAGCAGGTGTGTTGGAGCAGAGAAACAACTAAAACATACAGGATGGTGGCTCAATCACCGGAGTTAGCACCACGGCTCTAATCTTTAGTATTTGGTAAATGAATGTCCTGGAAATTCATGCTTTTTTATTACAGAATTCATTTTCCATTTCCTTTTCCATTTTTGAGTAACGGTTGGAACTTCCTCTGTTTCAAAGCCAGAGTTGGAAGCACAGTTTCGACCTAAATTTCAAGTCTCAGTCTGAACGTGTGTTGGTGAGCGGCTGAAATTTACACAGAAATATTTATGACTAATGGAGAGCATCCTGTCTGTCATGTGGATTTGTGCGCTGGGACTGGCAGCTGGGTGGTGACGTCCCATAGATCTGTATTCCAGACCCGAGTCTGGGTCTGCCTCTGATGACATCCACAGACCAGTCGTCTTGTGCACGTTCAGACTGCCTCTCTCACATCTGCATTCAGGTTAAAGGACGAGCGACAGGTCTGAATGTTACACGGAAAATCAGAAGTGTTTTTTTTAAACATAACTAAAGACAATTAGAGCCAGAAACAACATCCAAGAGTGGGTCAGATCAGAAAGGATGAGAAGAGAGAGAGTTTCCACTAGGACGGATTTAGATGTGACACACTTTAAGCCTGATCACTTCCTGTGTGTTCAGGAAAGAACAGAACTAAAGCCATGAAGGTGCTTAACATGACTTTGATCTGGTGCTGTGATTTTTATCACATTTATTGTCCATGAAGGGGAATAAATTAAGTTAAATGTCATAGTAAATAATGGTAACACGTGCAACTAATTGAGGAATTACATTTTTGAGCTTTAAAGAGTGAGTCACCCCCTACCAGAGTCTAACTCCACTCCCATTTCCTGTTTGAAAAATGCGCCACAAGGAGGCTTTTCCTGGCAGAACGAGAGGGCGGAGCTGCTAACAAATACACACACACACACAGCGGTGCTGTGACATCATATGGTACCAGCTAACATCATAGGGTACCTCCTAACCAATAACGATGGCAGACAAATTCAAATGTAGTGCAGAGTTTTTACCTAAAGACGGTGCAACACTGACATCTTTAGACAGAATATTTCAATTTTAGCTAAGACGCACTAAAGTGCCTAATTATTGACTACACGTGTCTATGGCACGACTAGATATTCATTTATATAGTTTATCAACAGAAAAAGGTGACATGTGGATGCTGTGGTCTCCAGTATAAATGAATGTCTTGTGAGTCGATCTCTATAGCGAAAAAGCTCTGGTGCTCCTGTTTCAGGAAGTGGAAGGCAGGATTTGGAGTCTCACTAATTAATATGATATTCAAACATCTCGCCTCTGACTAGCTAACATCAATGTGACTCTACCACTGACTCCATTTGCTGTGCAGCATTGATGTTTTTTCTCCACTAATAACACAAACCTGAATGAGCAGGTGTGTTGGAGCAGAGAAACAACTAAAACATACAGGATGGTGGCTCAATCACCGGAGTT